TATCTTTTATTGTATTTATAAAATACCTTGAAGGTTTTGGGAGAGGGCCTTTTTACAAGGGATGGGCAGCTCATATTTGTAGGACAATAAAGGAGCATAAACACGCATGAACAAGTAAACAAATAGCATCAAGAAAACGTGAAAAAGATTACACAAAGTTCAAACACGCTTACATTTAAAAATACTTGCCCGTAGTGGATTCCAAAAATTCGCATACATTTTTATACGTCCATATTATTTTTTTTTTATTCATATTACCCCTAAAGGCCCTCGTGAGAGGGTATTACATATCTGTGACTATGTTGTCGGGTAAAGCGTTCCATACAATTATTGTGAAAGGTATGGAAGAGTTAGCGTACGAAGTGGTTCATGCATATATGGGTTGAATTTTACAGCTGTTATTTAAGTTTTGAAAAAGTGAAGTGGGGGAGGAAATAGTTTCTTTCTATTGTAGGGTTATGGTGGCAAACCTTGTCGAACAGTATGAAACAAAATATCTTTCTCCTTAAAGTGAGTTCAAGGAGGTTCGCACGTTAACGCAATTTGGACACGCCTGTGTAATAAAAATAATCTAAATAAAGAAATTGTAACGATCTTTTTTGGACACTGTCTTCGTTGTCTCTGGGATAGTTTTGCCACGGAAACCAAATGAATGCAACAAAACCTTGTTTTGGGCGTACCAAGGATAGATATGCTATTCGCTTTACAATAAAGGGATACTACAACAACGAAATTTCGGTGCTCATTTTTTGGTCTATATGTGCTCAAAGAAGCAGTATCACATCGACCATACCAATCTCTTGTTCAAAAAGTCTCGAAAAGGAATTTTAAAACGAATTAAACGATTAGCAAAGAGCCCCTGGTGGATGTCGCTAACGCCTCGTTTGTAATGCCCGTCTAGGAACCTTGACAGCTAGTGACGGTGAGTGTCTCGCCTCCGGCCACGACGAGAGAAGAGGGGAAGGAGGAACTCCCCTCTTCCCGAGAATGCCTTTTGTGTGTCGCAGAAGTCGCTATTTCCCCCCTACAAGATTATAGAAGATTAACCCGTCACTCAAAATTTTTACAAAAGCAGCCGCGTCGGTGACTGGAACCACTAGGACATCCTCTCTACGTCAGCCTCGCCGTAGCTTTGCTCGTCCCGAGATGACCTACGTCACGACTGCGTTGGATGTCACGTGCTCTAAGCTGGGCCTTCTCCGAGCCCTTGCCAGAGTGGGCCGTTTATAACAAAAAATACAGCCACCAGGATCAAAATACAAGCGTGCGATTGTCGTTTACGGATATTGTGAATCATATTCAACCTATTTTTGAACGCGACGGGAATATTTCAGATTTCGTTGAAGGGTCCCTTCAAGGAAGGGGGGGGGGGGGGGGGGGCAAGTTTTAAATTTCGTCGCAGAAAACCGAGTGTGCTGGTTGCCTTAGCAACGATGTGATTCACGTAGGTGATCGATGTGAAATCGCTGGTTATATGAAGAGCAAGATATTTATAAGATGAAAATGAACAGAGTGTACTATCGTTAATGCTCTAGTTATGAGAAGACGGCGGCGAAAGACATGACAAGGTGAGTACATTGCATTTATCTAAATGCAGTGACAACTGCCAATTATCACACCAATGTGCAACGGAGGGATAAGCGGTCGTGGGAGCACGAGATAGTGCGATAGATTACTCAGTCGCTTGAGAAAAGTCGTATTGCGGAAGAAGCACAAAGAGGGTGATTATTAATATAGAATAAACAAAGTAGTCCGAGCACGTTTCCTGGAGAACGCCAGACGTTGCGCTCGATTTAGATAACATTGGGCTATTAAAAACGGTGTATTGACAGCGACAAGAATGAAATTATGAAACCCAAGCAATTATGAAGTGGTCAATTTTTAGCTGTTAAAGTTTTATATTAAGGCGTTTATGGGGCACTCTGTCGAAAGCCTTAAAAAAAATCAAGAAATCGTCGGTTTGTTTATTATGTTAAAAATTAAAATGAGTGTTATGTACAAATTCAGGGAGTTGGATTTCGCATGATAATTATTTTATGAATCCGTGTTGGTGTACGGTTAGAAGTTTATTTGATTCGAAATATTTAACATTAGAAAACATGATATGTTCCAAGATGTTTGAAAGAATGCTGGTCAGTGATATGGGACAGTAATTTCAAGCGGAATTTTGGTTTCCGGACTTATGCATGGGGATGACATCGCAAATTATTCATTCAGAGGGACGTTGCCAGACGAGAGGGATTAACAAATAATATTGATTAAAAACAAAGATAATGCACAATTAGCGTTTTTTTTTTTTTTTTTAGTTTTGAGTTGATGAGTTCATCGCCAGAACTTGAGGAAAGTTTCTACTTTTTAATCGCGTTGATATCCCCAGAATAATAGATGGTAATGGCTTCCATAGACGGATGACTGAGGACAGGATGCTCGGGATGACGTTAAGATTTTCGTTGGTAAAGATGGAACAAAATTAGTGGTTTAGGCAAGCAACACACTGGTCGCCAGACAGAACGTGTCGTTCATCATCGGTTAGAGCAAGAGGGGAGAACGGTATGGGATTGATTACATTCCATAACTGTTTGGGTTTGTCAGACAATACTTTTAATAGGTCGATGCCATAAAAGACTTGTTTGGCTTTTAAAATTTTGTAGTTATAGAGTTTTTGCATCCTTCGCATTTATTCCTTGCCTCTATGTTTGAGATCAACTTTTAGCACGACTAAATAATCTTTTTTTTTTCTTATAACCTATACGCTTGATTGCTTTACTATACCAAGGGTTGTGGCTATCTGTCTTGATGCTAACCAGAGGCACGTATTTGCTCGCGAGAAGTGATAACATATTTTTAAATCTGAGCCAGTTTTCTTCACTCGGGTAACTATGGAATGCCTCAGTGAACGACTCACAACAGGCTTCTGGTTCAGTGTTAATTGAATCGTAGCCGGCTTTGTTATAATCTTTCATTTGCTTATCAAGAATACTTTTGAGATGAATAGGAAACAAAAAATTAAAGTGTGCATCGAGGTGATCACTCAGCCGAGGTGGTAGTGAAAGTTTATTGATGACATTGTGGTCCGCAGATAAGCAAAAATCTAACATTTTGCTACTGTGATTAGTGATCCTAGTTGGCTGACTGATTTGTTGTGTAAGGTTGAGGTCCCACCATATATTGATGAAACATTTTGATTCTGTGTGATTTGCTGTTTACTTGTACCAGTCGTTGGTGTAGTTAAAATCGCGTGAAGTATAAGCGTTCAAAAAGTCGAATTGGACGTTTAGCGTTTTTACAGCTTAAGGTTGGTCTGCCAGTATGGGGCGACACTGGTTTACACTGTAGATGAGCAACTTTGCCAGGGCAGTACGAGTGGCAATCTGGGGTCTTTAATGTGCCCACGCAGTAGTGATACACGACCGCACACCGGTACGATGCTCGTCCAGATTGAAACGGGCTCGTGGGGCTCGAACCCAGGATCCCTGGGTTCTTCAGCGGGAGCTTTCGCTCCACGCGCGTCGAGCTCGACGTGCGCTTTAGCCCACTCGGACGCCGATCCCCCCTGGTATAAGCGTTGCTTTAGGAAATTTTAATGATATATGACTGAGGCACTTTTGTATTATAAGCACAAGGATATCATTATTGTCTCGTTGTCTGTAACAGAGGCCAATGATTGTTTGAATAGAGGGTGAATAAATCTGTACCCAAACCATTTCTAAGCCCTGTGCCTTAATCGCAAGTGACAACGTCAGGCACACTGACAACGCCGAATTGTTTTTTTTTAATTATGTTTTTGCTTAATGATTTAACATGGTGTCAGAAGACTACCCAATCAATATTTTGCTACAGCGTCACATATTTATATCTTATAAATTCCAACAACACAAGTGCTCGAAACTTAAAACGAAACTGGAAGGGGAAGAAGACATATAGATGAGGAAAGCTTTGCCGGAAGTCACGTGGTTGTTAAACTTTTTTTTTCTTTTCATTTAACGTGTTTGCAGCTTTTTAAAAGCCAAAAAAATTGGTATCAAATGTTTTGTCTTTTCTTAGTATTGAGTGTGTGCCTTCGACAACCCGCGACTTTCATTATCTTTGGTGGTTGTGTCTAAATCATAGAAAACGGCACGTGACCTCAGAGAAGGAAATGACCGCGACACAGACCGGCTAGTTCTTGATCGGTGGTTTCCGGGCGAAAAGAAAACGAATTTCAAACCGCAAATTGTGTTCTGGGTAGTTAAATTTTCATGTGTCTTGTATAAAAAAAAAAAAAAAAAAATTGGCGACCATAAATATTTTGTCAGTGTCCCTTTAACAGTTCCCAGTACTCCCCCGCCCAGTTTGTACATTCCCCATCACATCTATACAGATTATATTTCATAGACTAGGGGAGAACTTCAGAGTCACCAACCCCGGGCGTAAGCCACGTTTCAGTTAAAAGGGCTATGTCAGCTTGCGCTGAATCTATTAGCGTATACGAAGCGTGAGGTTTAGGAGGCGCACTTCATTTTGTGAATAGAACAGAGCAAGCGTAGAACGAATCGGTTTGTTTGGATGACGAGGTAGAAGGCTGCGAAAGGAACTCTTTTTTTATTCTTGGGTTGCTATTCGGTTTTATCCGTTACACATTGGTTAGCATGATATTAACCAAAACACTTGTTGTCCACGTAGAGCTTATCCTATTGAAGCTTTAATCGACAGTTTTTAGGTTTCACATAGGCAAGCAGTTCCCTTCTAGTAGTTCGTATGTTTACCGGAAAATGAGAAATTAGCATTTATTGAAAGGAAAACAGCGAGGTCAGCCAGCGCTTTGTGCCGGCTTGCTACGCTGTGAAAGAAGATGAAATTAAAAAAAAAGAAAAGGAAATAAAGAGAAATAGTATAGACAAAGATAGCAAAGATACGAAGAAAGAAGATAAAGAGATGAAAAGAAAAAAAAATGCGCACGCACACAATACACACACACATACAAACTCACAAAACTGTTATGTTGACAAGTGTTGGCTCACTTTGCAGCACACTGGACTGCAGTTCCTTAAAGTGTTTGTTGAAGATGTGTCTTCTTAATGAAATGTAAAAGAGCTTCAGTGGCCTTGTAACTGTCTGCAGTGGAAGGCCAGGGTCCAAACAGAAGCTTCAAGTCCACCTGGTCCTCTTCCTTTAATTTCAGGCGAGTCTTCAGTGCGGTCCTTTCAATACTGTAATCCCCGCAGGCACACAGGACGTGTTCGATGTTATGAATTGTTCTACACGATGAACAATCGGAAGATTCAGCTTTGCCAATTTTATGAAGATAATATTTAGTATATGCAACATTGAGCCGCAAACGATGTAACACCGTCTCAAGTTTCCTTGGTAGTCCTCGTGGTATCCGGAATTCGAGTTTAGGATCAATACGATGAAGGCTGTAATAGTGATATTGTGGATTTTCCCATAAAGATAGTGAGATTTCATTTCCGATAGATTTGATTAAATGATTGGCATCAGATCTTGAAAACGGAATAGATACAGAAATTGTGCTCTCGTGGGCGTCTTTAGCGGCTCTATCGGCGCACACGTTTCCAATTATCCCGGAGTGGCCCGGTATCCACTGCAAGATGAAGTGATGTCCTCGATTCGATGCATACTGAATAGCCTGTAAAATATCATGGACTAGTTGTGAGTTAATGTTGTCTTTTCTTATCGAAGATAGAGCGTACAACGCAGATCTGGAGTCGACAAGTATTGCCCAGCATCGTGGGCTTTCAGTGCCCGCGTGTACAACAGCTGCACGAATAGCTGCTAGTTCTGTCGCTGTTGATGAGGTGGCGTGGCTTAGTTTAGCCTTTATGTATGTGGCTGTGGATGGAATGTATACCCCCAGGGCTGAAGATGTGGGAATTGTAGAACCATCGGTGTAGATATGAGTAAATGACTCGTAAGTTCTTTGAATATATTCGAGAGATATCTGTGTAATTACCGGGGAAGGAGCTGAATTTTTTTTAGTGATTCCTGGTATGCTTGTTCTTATTTCCAAGTGAGGGTACTTCCAAGGTGGATATTGTGGAATCGCAGCTGCCTCAATTGAACTTGGCATATAGTCTTCTAGTACCATAATAACTTGCGCAAAGCCAGATGATGGTCTATATTTGACAATGTCTACCAGGTGGTGTTTATACACTCTGGTTTTGTGTCGTAGATGAGCTCGCAGTGTTTCTTGCGTCCTTAATATTGCGGGAGATTTCGCACGAGATTCCGCCAGAGTTCCAGAGGTGGAGGTACGTTTTGGCAATCCAAAGCAGGCACGAAGTGCTTGAGCTTGCGCGCTTTCAAGTTCTTTAAAACAAGACCGCGAGACACGTTGCATGACTGGCAAACTGTAGCGCATAAGACCGACAAATAGAGCGTTATACAGAGCCATCAGCGCCGATACAGAGCATCCCCATCTGGTTCCACTGATCATTTTGATTATATGTGTAAACGAGGTGAGCTTTTTCTTTAACCGTTTAATATGGGGTCCCCACGTCATTTGCCTATCGAGAGTCACGCCCAAAAATGCATGTTCGGAGACATATGGGATTGGGATTCCTTCTAAGTTAATGGGGTATCTGTATGTTTGTTTCATTGTAAACGCCAACGCCGCAGACTTCTCTGGTGATATGTACAAGCCTCGGCTGCTAAGGTACCGTGCGGCAATGTTGAGGGCTTTTTGTAGCCTGGCTCTGTTTATATATAAAGACTTGCTCGATGACCAGAAACATATGTCGTCAGCGTATAAAGATACATGCACAGAAACAGGGAGTACCTTCAGAAGGCCTATAAGGCATATGCTGAACAGCATCGGACTGAGTACCCCACCTTGGGGAACCCCCTGTTTGACCTCATGGAAGTCAGTGTTGCCATCTTGTGTTGATATATAGACTTTTCGTTCTTTAAGGTAGCTGGAAATCCATGTAAATAAGCGCCCTCCGAAACCAATCGCCTTCATGTCGGAAAGTATGGCCTCGTGTTCTACCGAATCGAAGGCTGCTTTTATGTCAACGAATACTGCGGTGGTGACCTGCTTGACTGATTTCATTTGCTCTATACTAGACACTAGATCTATAACGTTGTCAATACTGCATCTGCCACGTCGGAAACCATTCATGGATGAAGGATAAATGCATCTATTTTCAAGATCCCACTCCATGCGTGCAAGCAGCATGCGTTCCATTATTTTGCTTATGCAGCTAGTTAATGCGATCGGGCGATATGAATTGATATCGAGTGGTGGTTTCCCTGGTTTGAGAATTGGTATTACGCGAGCGATTTTCCAATCCTGGGGTATAATGCCAGTCTCCCATGAGGTATTGAATAAAGTGAGTAGGGCCATTCTAGCAGTTTCCCCCAAGTGACGTAAGGCTGAGTAGCGTATGCCATCTGGACCTGGACAGGACTTAGTGTTGGATGTAGCAAGTGCTATGTCTAGTTCCTTCAAGTTGAAACGGTCGTCCATAGAATTACATGCACTTACAGGGACGTGACCATCTGGGGCACCCTTGCTGTAATTGTTACTGGAGGGGCAGCTTGTAATCTTTATGCAGAACTCTTCTGCCACGACTGTTTCGGGTATTTGCCGTCTCAAAGAAATGGCTCTGAAGGGGTGAATTTGCTTTGGCCTTACGCTGAGGCTTCGCGTGATGTGCCATATTCGGGTAGTTGGCTTCCTGGGATCAAGGCCGGAACTCAGTGACCTCCAGCGTCTTCTTGAAAGTTTGTCTAAGTGCCGCTGTACACGTTTTTGTGCTCGTCTGGAAGCCTGAATATCTTCAACGTCTTGTGTTTTTCTTGCTTTTCGTTCAGCCCTTCGACGGATGGCACGAAGACGCTCATATTCTCCATCAACCGTTGTCTGCGGGTTTGTCACGTTGAAATATTTTGTTGCTTCTGAAGTGGAAGATGTTATGGCATTCACAAAGGATTCTGTTCCAGTGAGCACAAAACTGACAGCTTCCATTTTTTCTTGAAATATTTTCCAGTCGGTAGAAGGTACCGAGAAGCGTTGTTTGGAACAACGCAGACCTCTCACTGTGGTGTATGTCGGTGCATGGTCACTTCCGTGAGTTTCAATGTCAGCGAACCATGTAGTTTCTTCAGCAAGACCTGAAGATGCAAACGAAATATCTAAAGGGCTGTTCACTGATGCATCTTTAAAGAATGTAGGACTTCCATCATTTAGTATTACGAGATCATGGTTTAGCGTAATTCCAAGTAATGCCCTTCCTCGAGCATTATTCTTCGCACTTCCCCACAGTGTGTGGTGAGCATTAAAATCTCCTGTCAGAAGACGTGGTGGCGGGGTTTGTTGGAGAATAGCTTCAAGTCTCTTAGTGTCAAATTCTGCTCGAGGAGGTATATAACCAGTTATAACACTGAATGAGATATCGCCTTTTTTTATAGTCACAGCAATATATTCATTTGTCCTATGGGACGAAATATTGTGCTCAATAAATGTGAGATCTTTTCGAATGCCGAATAATACTCTGCTAAGACCGGTTTCTCTGTGGGAGTGAAGAAGCTCATAACCAGATAATCTGATGTTAGGTCCTACTCTTGATTCCGAAATTGCTACTACAGGAAATTTGTGTTTGAAGAGGAATTGCCGAAAATTTGACAGCCTATTTCGAAAACCTCTTGCGTTCCATTGAAGGACAGTGGCCTCACTTCGTAATTTATCTAGTGACACCAGAGCATCACGAATGGAAGGACAGCATCAATCAACGTAATAAGCGCTTTGGCTATAGGCGAATCCCAAGAGCAAAGAAGATTGCGGAAGACATTGACAACTGTCTGAATCTTGGCCTCAGACATTGGTGGTTGCTGTCGTGTAGACTTCTCTTCGGGTCGTTTGGTTTCTCCTTCTGATTTATCCGTGGATTTTGAAACTTGTGTGGGAAGAGTTGGAAATTCATCTTCACTGTTCCACTTGATTGGGGGACTACTCGTGTTTTTCTTCGCGTATTTCTGCAGGTGTCTCAGGTTGGACTGCTTGGCTGATGAGGAGTCTTCGCTCGTTGGGAGTTCTTGAGCTGCAGATGGTTTCTTTTCCTTTGACGCAGTCGTTTTAGGGGTCTCTTCTGCCAGTTGTTCTTTCGATGCGAGCAGCGCCGCTTTCGCGGACGCATAGCCAACTTTAGCTTGGCTCTTGTACTTGTATATCTTTTGTTCTCTTTGGTATGCTGGACAAAGATGAGATGTCGAGTCATGAGCTTTGCCGCAGTTCGTGCAGAGGGGGTTGTCTGCATTGCAGCCGGTGCGTTCATGTGGTCCTCCACAGCGTGTGCAACGTGACTCTTTCGTGCACGCGGTTCGAATGTGTCCAAACCCATTGCATTTCGAGCATTGGCGAGGTTTCTCTACAAACGGTTCCATCCTGTATCTTGTATATCCAATCGTGATGTATTCCGGCAAAATGTCTGTGTTGAGGACAACCTAAACAACTTGGGACGTGCCTAGCCGACGAACGGAGATAACAGGCGCCGTAGCTCGTATAGCCACCTGAAGTTCCGTGTCGTTTATGTCTGACGGTACTCCGTATACAACTCCGATGGCCGATTCACGGGGAAAAGGCTCGTAGGCCTGGACAGGGATGCTTCCGATGGTGGTCAGTGCAAGCAAAGCTTTTGTCGCATCTCTGTTTCTCGTGTCTATAGCGAGTAGATTCAGCCTTCGGTTTGGCCTGACAAGGATAATTCCATCTGGGGCAGTCATCTCTAGCTTCTCGGTGATTTTCAGCGGATTAATTGTGGCGATTATTTTGGATGGATCTTTTGGCTTCAGTACCACTACAAGGTGGGGATGAACTTGTTTCGTGTTTCTGACGGTCTTATTACTTGTCTCGGAGCTGCTGGAGGCTTTGCGTTTTTTGCGACTCTGGACCAGATTATATGGGTCGGAATCGTCACCGGGATCGTCAGAGATGCTCTCGTAGTAGGAGATTGTGCTCGAAGCACTTGACGTACCCATAGGCAGATCTTCCATTTCGACTGAAGGTATGTCCTGGCCGGAGGAAGGGCCGGCCTCGGCCATGGCAGATGAGCGATCGACTCAATTCGAAGAAAATGTTGCCTTTGGCTGGCCAGGGAGGTGAGAACTTTGATTAAAAAGGAAAAATATAGAGACGAGCTCAGGATCAGCAACGATAAGTTCGACCTTACCGGAAAATCTTCCCCAATAGATAAGTCTTACCCTTTAGTTTGACAACGGCAGAAAAAATCGACTGTTTATTTTGGAAAAAAAGCTGAACTTTGCAATAATGAATCTACACCTGTTAGAGTCGAAGGAGCCAAGACGATGTGCTCTGTCTACGGCGAAATCGTCTAGCGCAATTTTAAAGGTTTTCGGCGCACATAGTTCCGACAACCTGCTCTGACTCAGCCCAAGTTTCTGATTCCCTATCGTCCAAATCGTAAACTAGCATGTTAGACCGGCGTGCTCGGCTCTCTGCGTCGTCACAAGACGCTTGTAAATGTTTCAGATGAGACTCAGTGATAGCAACGTTAGCATCTTCGATGTGAACCTTCACAGGATTTGATATAACGGCAGCCAGATCAGTCTCTAAGCTGGTTTTCGGGAAAATAGACTGGTTAGAAGCTTGTCCGTTTGAGTTTGCTTTTCCCCGAGTTCCTTTACTTGATTCATCAAGACAGACTGTCCAATTTCAAGTTTTTGTACAACCGCATGTGTTATTTAGTAAAAGTTATTCGCTTTCGGCCTTGGTCAGCGGACCTGGATTCAATTCTACATCACCACATAATATCAAAAGAGCTGTTTGTAAAGAGATATCAGGCATGCCAGTGGGCTCAGCAGGACTACAAGGCAAATACAACAGCTCTAGAAACTATGAAACGGTTTAGTTCACCAACCTTTTATGACGAAGAGCAACATTTTAACGTTCATTGTTCCACGAGTGTTGCCGAGCCCATGGGCGATCTGTCGAATTGCGGCTTTTTTTGTAGCCAATGCTGTTGTTGACGATGACGCCACCGCGGCGAGATGTAGATAATCCAGCGTGAAATTTTCGAAGATGGTGCGGGTGATTTTTTCCGCTCCAGGCAGTTGGGCTTTCTTGGATGGGACCGGGCCATATTTCAGGTGACCCAGGACCTGTATGACGCAGAGCAACATTTCAACGTTCATCGTTACACGAGTTTTGCCGAGCCTATGTTTGCATTATGTTAAGAAGATGGGAGTTTCATCGAGCTCAGAATGAATGTTATTCTTTCAATTGTATTTACCAGGCGCATCAGGGGGTAATTATAATGCAATTAAATGCAAAGGTGCAAGCGAGCTGGACAAGAATGATGAAAATAATCCCTGGAGAAGGGGAACAAGAGGGACAAAGGACAAACATAAATCTCCAAACGCAGCTAGGTGACTGGTGAGCGACCGAAAAAATCCGCCTGGTCCGGGTATCGAACCCGGGACCTCTCCATTACAGGTGGAGCGCTCTACCAACTGAGCTAACCAGAGGTTAGACGTCAGTAGAGCAAACGGGTTTTATCAGCCGCCACCAGTCTAACACCAACAAGGGTGAAGCTTGCAAATTTAAGTTCAGCTCGCTTGCACCTTTGCATTTAATTGCATTATAATTATAACCTTAAATTTGCAAGCTTCACCCTTGTTGGTGTTAGACTGGTGGCGGCTGATAAAACCCGTTTGCTCTACTGACGTCTAACCCCTGGTTAGCTCAGTTGGTAGAGCGCTCCACCTGTAATGGCTCAGTTGGTAGAGCGCTCCACCTGC